AAGTTAAGGATTTCCATCTTCTAACAATAGGTGCTATGAACATCTGTTTCAGCCCTGAGATTCCATCAGCATGTATGTGAAATTGGGGGCTTTCTGCCCTATTGTTGCTGTTCTTTCAGTTCCCATCCAGTTGGAAGGATCATTTTGGAAGTTTATCCCTGAGATTCCATCAGCATGTCTGTGAAATTGGGGGGCTTTCTGCCCCATTGTTGCTGTTCTTTCAGTTCCCATCCTTCCAGTTGGAAGGATCATTTTGGAAGTTTACAATCAGCAAACTCAGATGCTTTCCTGTTCCCCCTCAATTCCAGGTCACTTACGAACATTTTAAAAAAAAGTTATCTCAATACAGACCTACTGACCAGATTCTTCCATCGCAAGTATAGGCCACTTTACACCCATGATCTGCTTGCTGATTTTTGAGCAGTTTTCAATTCATAAAAGGACTTCTCTTATCCCATCAGAGTTTTACTCAATAATCTTTGGCAAGGGATTTTCTCAAGAGCTTTTTGGAAGTCCAGATAGAAATATTGGCCTGTTAAAGAAGGGTATCTGGAAAGGTTCAAAGAACTTGCTGTCTTATGCAGGGGGGTGTCCCTTCCTCTATGGATGGAGAGATACAGCCCTGTTTTAGGACACACATCCTTTCTCAGCCAAATGCTTTTCATGCTGGAGCCACCATTCCTTGCTAGCAATGGCATTATGGAATTTATAGTCCATCAGGGAAAAAGCACTACATGAAGGACGGCAATTTTAGAAACTACAAAAGGAGCATTTCCGAAACAGCCAGCAGCAAACGTACTGTTCAGAAGGAACCCCGTAAAACCCACTGTTTATTTACAGCTAATCATTTAAACGAGGAGTTAATACTGCTAATTCAAGCTAAACTGTTCCAATGCTTAACATTAGCAGAATCAATGTTTTCCAGTTTCTAATGATGAACCCTAATGAATTAATGTTTAACCTAATATGTCAAGCTTTGCTTTCAGAGACTACCCCACTCCTAACTCCTTAATAGCCATCCAAAGCCTTCCAGCATCACATAGGATGAAATTTAGAACTGCTGGATGACTGAATTATGCAGGTATTTGGCTGCAGAGTGAGAAGCTGAGTTCAATTCCTGGCGGTGCCTCTTTGAAAGTGGCTGGAGTTGATGATCAGAGGGTCCCTTTCAGCTCTGCACTTCTAAGATTATTGCTGCTGTTTTTAGGTATTTGGGTTATCTTAAGCTATTTATACCCACCCCCCTACTTACCTTACAAATAATTGTTCTATGTTGCAAAAAAAAAAAATGTAGGCACCTCATTAAAAAAAAGTTGGGGCAAAGCTGGAGGGAGGCATAAGCTACCATTCTGTTTCGTGGAGGGAAACTACAAGCAGGAAATCGGACGGAGAGAGAGAGAGAGAGCGCAAATCTGAGAGCCTTTGGTCTTCCAGATGTTTTGGACGACAAATCCTCTAGTTTCTACAGCCAGAGAAGCAACATTTCAGAGATAAAATTGGCGAATCCTTGATATGCTAGCTTTCTACAAGCAGGGAGCTGTTTTTGTCATGAACCCTTTAAACATGCAACTGCCACCCCCTCTTTTCCTCTATAGCTCAAAATACGATAGCCCAGGAAAAGCTTTTCTCATTTGCTGTTGATAAAAATGGGGGGCGGGGGAGAAGGAAGCTGTAGAATTGGGGAAACTGTGATTCAACTAAATAATTCCAAGAATGTGAGCTAGGACACATCAGCAAATCAAGATAGACTTGCATTGGCAAAATCAAGGCTCTTGGGGGTTCCATCACGGACCCACTGGGAAAATCGCTGGCCAACTTGCTGAATGAGCCACCAGCTTCCTTTAAGGGAACAACAGCTAACAAGGGCGGGAAGGATCGGTTCCCATTGCTTGACTTGAGTCTGAAGGGAACATCAAGTCCTTCCCAAAGGTTATGCCAAGCGTTAGGGTAGACCATTATTATTATTATTATTATTATTATTATTATTATTATTATTATTATTATTATTATTATTATTATTATTATTATTATTATTATTATTATTATTATTATTATTATTATTATTATTATTATTATTATTATTATTATTATTATTATTATTATTATTATTATTATTATTTATTATTATTATTATTGAAAAACTCCAGGCATAGTCAAAATTATAAAGACATTGACTGGTATTATATAACAGATACAAATGTTAACCAAAAACCTAAGCATCTGCTAAACATTGGCGCAGTATCTATGCTGTTCCTAAAATTGCTGGGGGGGGGTGTGTGTTGTAGCTGCAATGGTGTGATTTCTGAGATCTGCCACTTCTTATAGTACTGTGTGAAGTTTCTTGATATTGTTCTCAAACCCCCAATGACTACGGGAACTACAGAAGTGTGTTTCTTCCGTAGGCGAGATGTTTCAGTGGCCAGGTCTCTGTAACGTTGTTAGTTCTTTCAATTCTTTATTTTCAACTCTGGCATCCCCTGGAATTGCAATGTCAATGATCTGGACATTTCTTCATTTTAATCTGTCGTTCTGTCTGATGTGTTATGTTCAAGGTGTCTATCCGTTTAGTTCGGGAAATCCAAACTGATGATGATGATGATGATGATGATGATGATGATGATGATGATGATGATGATGATGATGATGATGACCGGTATGAAAAAGATCAGTCCCAATTAGCTGACAATTGCGGAAGCAAGGGGGAACAAAGGTAATGGAGAAACAGAGAGGAGCGATAGAACAGGGGAGACCTGCCGCTCGTCATTCATCCGAAGGATGATTGTTACAGGCTTTGCTTCTAAAAAGAGAAATGGTTCCTGGTTGAGACATGTGCCCCATAAGACCGTTCAACCTAACCCCCAGGTGTGCGGTTGCATAGAGGGCGTAGGCACCCATGGCCGACAGTGGTAGCACAGTGATGAGAGAAAGGCACTTGGCACATCCTCAGAGGAACCCTCCTCCCTTGTTCTCCCAGGGTCAAACTCTTTCTGTCGACAGACCTTCCACCAAAAAGGGAGGGGAAGGGAAGAGAGAGAGCCCAGCCCTGCCTGAAATCCAGCCATGTGGATTCCCAGACACCAAAGAAGACCAGCTGGTGCATCAGGGGGTTGGGGGTGTTTGAGGTTGGGGCTGTCATGGTACTCATTGCAGCAGTTGTGAGGTGGAGCAGCATAATTGTTCCAGGTGCATGGCTCCGTGGAGGAAGGGAAGGCCATAGGCAGGAGAAACGACAACATCAGCATTGGATGCATTGAGGTGCCAAGCAGATCCGCAGGTGGAAAACAGGCAAGTTACAGGAAGGATATATATTTTTCCTGCAGGCTCCCCATGGGGCTGGATTCTGAAAACTTGGCACAGGGAGGGGGTGACCCCTTGTTCTACTCCCTACATAAGGGGCCCGGGGAAGCTTAACCTGGAAGTTAAGTTCCAAGTTAACTTCCAAAAAGCTTGGAAAAAAGCTTAACTCCTCCCTGGCACCCGACACAGGATCTTCTATCAACCTGCACATCAGGAAATATGGGAACACACGAGGCCTGTCTCTCCTTTCCATCAGCATCAGGGTGGGTCACATACAGCTGCCAGGGAGCCACACGGGGCCCTCCAGAATCTCTAGGACCTGCCAGCACCCCCACACCTCCAAAGGTGAATGTTCAAAGCCCAAAATCTCCTCAGTGAGTTTCCTGGTGCCTAGTTTAGGGGATACAGGAAGCTGTTTGACCCCTTTCTGAGCCCAACAGCTCCCCATGACCGACACACAAGGAAAAATATAATTGAGATGGGGGTCCTGCAAACCGGTGCAGCTTTTTCAAGATCTGGGGACAGACATGGGTAGTTCCTGGTTCAAGCCTGGAGACTGTCCATTCCTAATGGGCATCCATTTACTTTTACTTTTGACTCCCAGTGCCAAGACTGGCTTTGATACAAGTCCCGTTACCACCTCCGAAAGAATCCAGGTCTACCTCCTTTACCGCTGCAATGCCTGCCACGATTTGTTTCGCACCATCACATCTCTGCGTTTCCCCACCTTTGGCCACCAGCTACAGCTGGGGTGTGGGGGGGGCAAGGGAGAGCAGCCCCCAAAGGCTGGGGTCCGTGGCCCCTGCGACCACCAGCATGCTCAGTACCCATGATATGGTTCAGCAAAAACAGCCGTACTGACTGTAAAAACTGCATAAATCCAGCTACACCCTGGAGAAAACCTCTTCCACAAGAAGATTTTCTCCTTTTGTTTCCTGTCAGAGCAACACAGACATTGGCACGGCAGTGTGACCCGCTCCTGAAGGCTGAGTGCAGTGAGGAAGGCTCAAAAACCAGATCGCTAACTCCTAGGAATTTGCTTTCCCCCCCTTTTGATCTCCACGTACAACGGATGGGAAGGGTGCAAAGACAGGTTCTAACACCATCTGACAAGGCGCACTGCATTCAACATGACAAAAGGGAGCTAGAGGGACAGGCTTTGATTTTTTGGAGGGTGGGCACCTAAATTACGGGTCTTTTGAGATTTAGAACTAAGCGGAGACCGGAAGCAAGTTTGCATCGTGTCCATGATTCAACCTCATAATCCCACATCCATTTATAAGTGGCTCCCACAATGCATGGATGAAAATGGGGTGGGAGGGAGGGGTTCCTAGATCTCAACTCACTGATTCCTCCTTTCTCTTCTCACATGGTCATGAGTTCTAGAGATTTGCTCAGGAGGGCGGTTAGATACATTTAGATGGTTAATGGGTCGTATGTTTGGCTCCCTTTAGATCAGGAACAGGAGATGTATGGCTCTCCGTGTGATATTGGACCAATTAATCATCCCTAATCCACAGATGCTTCTCTCTGAGGTTTATGGGACCTGGGAATCCAGCAAAAATTCCATACCTCTGCTCTGGAAGGCGGTGCGTGTGCCTTACTCCCTGTGTTTGGAAATAACGTTGAAGATTTAGCATGTTAACCCGTGGTTACTTGGGTGGGACAAGCCAGGAGTGGCGGCTGAAGAATATTTTGAAAGCAAAGCTTTTGATGCTTTCACATTTATTTCAAGATGAGATTTTTGTAAAAGAGAAATTGCATTTGTCTCGTTAAAGGCTGAAGTAAAGATTTTGCTGCCATTGCAATAAAAATGAAGGGTTATGTCCAGACCATCTCCTGGCTTTATGTAATTCTAAATCCAGTAAGCTTGCTCTGCTCCAGGGTGCGGAGCCCTGCCTTCTCATTCTGTGGGCATGGGCCGAATGCTGCATCTCATTGGTTCCCTTTCCCAGTAGGAAAGCATTCGTTAATACTGCTGCTTCTCATTTTTGCAGTATACTCGTGAACGACCCAAACCGGTCAATATTGCAAGATTTTTTCCCCCTATTTCCTTCCCATTTGGGTGACTCTGGCCCCAATCCAGCTTTAACACCTAGATATCCAAACAGACTACCTTGTGAAGCAGAAAGGTCTTAAACCCTCCCCCCTGCTCCATAAAGATGGGGGAGGAAAGCTGCTTAGCCAAGATTCACCAGACAAATTTTTATCGCAAAGTGTTCTCAGGTTCTGCTGTAGGAAAAGCAAGCCTGTGCAGACGCATTCCACTCCCCTTCAAGACCATCCTTTAGTCCTAAGAGTGAGAAATATGGAGCAACTTCCAAAACTTCCTTGGGGAGAAACACGCTCCCCCCCAAACCTTGGAAGGCTATCCCTCTCTTCCTCCTCCATCATCCAACACACCTTGATTAATTTTTTAATGAAAAAAAAAGAGTCCCTTTGCACGCTTTCAGAAGCAGTGTTCCTGGCTTGAAAGAAGCATCCTCAACTATAACAAAATTCACCACCACCATCAGAGGGTGCAAAGGAATGTTTGCAAATCGAAAAATCGACTGTCGGTGGCCTAGGAAAACTGCAGGTTCTGGATCTGCTTAAGGAACTGCATAGGCATCCTGGCTTTGGCCCGTCTCTGGATTGCACCTGGAGAAGACATGCATAGAGTCTGAGAAAGCTTCAGCAACGGCACGGCAGGGAGGATCCAGCATATGAGTGAATTCAGCCCTGAAGGACACTGTGCCTTCTTGTCTAGCTTCCATCTCTGCTGCTTCTGCTTGTTCTGCAGGAAGAGACGTACATCGGAAGCTGGCAGGTGGAACTGGGGAAGGGGCTGTGTGGAAGAGGGTGGCCACGAACAGGGATGGAAAGCCATTTTGGGGATGGGGTTCATACAGCAGCCAGAATTCTCCCTATGGCACAACAGGGAGAGGACAAAAGAGGTTGGCTAGCAGAGTTTAGGGAGCATGTTTTCTCCCCTACCCCAATTGTTTTGGGGCAAAATTCCCAGAATCTCTCATGACTGCCCAGGACGGATGGCAGATGCCATGCACATCAGGGCGATCTTGTTTGAATGTGTGCCCTTTGCTCTTGCGTAGTTTAAAACAAAAGAAGTCCGACTGAGGCTGAATATCACAGAAGGTCAAGAAGGCAAAGAGAGGCACCAGACGCTGGGGAGTAGCCAACCCCGGTGGCCTCCTGCTAGAAGGGAGGTTAGACTGCCACCCCAAATGGCTTTCCTACCAGAGCAGACTGCTGTTGTTGTTTTGGACTACAGGTCCCAGAATCCACCATCCCTACTACCTAGAGGATCCTGAGAGGGTGGTGGAAATAAGTTCCTCAAGCTTCAGGGACGGGGAGGGAGAGGGTGCCACCTTTGCCTGCCTCAGGCAGCTAATATCTTGGGTCAGCCCTGATTAGAGTGATCTCACCGCCCGAGCCTCTCAAAAAAGGAATCCTTTCCCGCTGCTTCCCTTTAAAATGGGGAAGGCATCCCAGGGATTAAACCAAAAAGGAGCTGTGAATAACGGCCACAGAAGGAAAGGGGGCAAGGGGGAAGACTACCCTCTGCCAGCTATATTTGGATTCTTGCACTGAGCAGAGAGTTGGGCTTGATGACCTTATAGGCCCCTTCCAACTCCATTATCCCATGAGAATAGGCACATCCCTCCCTGCAAGGATCAGGGCTGCCGCGTGGAATTTTCTTCATCAGAATCCCACCTGTTCTCATCCACATTCTTTATTTTCATAACGATGCAATGGCTAGTGCTGCGAAGTTATGAAATTCTAGCTGTGGGGGGGGGAGAGGACCCTCACATCTCCTTTGAAAAGTGGGGCCACCGCATCAATCTCCTTCTGGACTACCCCTGAGTAGATGGGGAAGCCCCAGCAGCAGCAGCAAGAGGAGCCGGCTTGAGGCCGCTCCCAGCCTCCCTCTCGTGAAGGGCTGAAGAGGAAGCCTCTAAAAGCATCGGGTGAGCCTAATTCACAAACTGCCACCGTGGTCTTCTTTCTGCGTGTAAAGCCACATGTAAAAGTGTAGCTCAGTAGGTCCAGGGACTTCCCTGCAGGTCCGAGGGTCACAGGTTCCAATCCTGACTGCACCTCCTACGACTGGGGCCAGCCAGGAGTGTAACTTGCTGATGGGGCTATTTGCCCTCTCACTGGGGGAAGTCGGACGGTGGTTGCAGAGCATCCCCAGAAGGAGAGGCTGGGGAACCGCTTCTGAAAATCTTATATCTACGTAGGAAACTCTGGGAGAGTCAGCATAAGTCAGAATTGACTTGACAGCCCATAATTAATTCATTAATTAAGGTCAAGAAGGCAAAGAGAGGCACCAGACGCTGGGGAGTAGCCAACCCCGGTGGCCTCCTGCTAGAAGGGAGGTTAGACTGCCACCCCAAATGGCTTTCCTACCAGAGCAGACTGCTGTTGTTGTTTTGGACTACAGGTCCCAGAATCCACCATCCCTACTACCTAGAGGATCCTGAGAGGGTGGTGGAAATAAGTTCCTCAAGCTTCAGGGACGGGGAGGGAGAGGGTGCCACCTTTGCCCGCCTCAGGCACCTAATATCTTGGGTCAGCCCTGATTAGAGTGATCTCACCGCCCGAGCCTCTCAAAAAAGGAATCCTTTCCCGCTGCTTCCCTTTAAAATGGGGAAGGCATCCCAGGGATTAAACCAAAAAGGAGCTGTGAATAACGGCCACAGAAGGAAAGGGGGCAAGGGGGACGACAGGACAACTCGTGTGTGTACAACTGGCTCCGTATATCTTCTCTTATTATATTTGTCATCCTGTACCAGAGCAGAAGATGTTCAATATGAATGCCTTATGTGCACACATACACAGTCGGGGCAAACAGAAGTGTTGCAGGCTGCAACAACATACACACACAAAACACACACACAATAGTGTGCGTGCATGAGTGTGCATGCGTGTGTCTATGTATATATTTGTATATATATTTTTAAAACGACAGCAAATTGCATCAGTTGCTCACTTGCACAGTTTTTGTGTGGTTTTCTTGCTGTTCCTCCAAACGAGAAATTACACGGACAGGCCGGGCCCCGGAGGTGAGCAGGCTTCTCACAGCCCTCTTCGGCCACATCCGGTGTGGCTGGGCCATGAGCATCCAAACGCTAGCCAGCTGAAGCAACATGGGAGGCAAAGGGAATCTACTCCAAACGCTGGTGGAGAGAGCCAGACAGACAGACAGAGAACACGTCTCACGGATGGGCTGACAGACGGACACAGGCAGTGTTTACGCTTCCACGCAGCACATGGCAAAGTGTGGGGGGATGGGGAGGGAATGGGCGGAGGAGAGCCCAAGGGGGGGTCCTCAATCCTTCAGGTGCGCCTCCGTCACCCCCTGGGCCATCAGTTCGGCCAGGACGTTGTCCAGGTAGTTGGGGTCAGGGTAGCCGTGGCCAGTTAGGTTAGACCCGAACTCGGTCTTGTGGTGGATCTCATTCCACACCACGGTGTCGGATTCGCCCGTCGTGTTGGAGGTTCCGATGGTAAAGATGAGCCGGCGTTCCCATGCCATGATCAGCAATTTCAGGATCTGGTTGAGAAGACAGAAAATAAACAATCCACTGGGAAACTTACTTAGTCCACCACATGGGGGGAAAAATCTACCATTTTTGGGTCTAGAGCTCCATGCTGTCTTGGAGCTCTTTGGAGGTGTGGTCCAAAATACAGTGGTGGCTCACTTAACAAGCGCACCGTTTAACGCTGAATCCACATAGCGCCGCGTTTTTTGCGATCGCTAATGCAATCGCATTGTGATGTTTTAGGTGGCAAAACATCGCATTGCGAGGATCAGCAAGCGTTTCGCTTACCGATCTTCGCATTACGATGTTTGCAGAACAGCTGATCGGTGGTTCCAAAATGGCCGCCGGCAGAAGAAAATGGCGGCCCGCTCCGTTTTCGCGCCCTGCCCTCGCTTATCAAGGCGGCGAAAATGGTGGCCGGCTGGGGAATCTTCGCATAATGGTGAGTTTTGTCCCCATAGGAACTCTATTTAATGTATTCCTATGGGGTTCACCCCCCCCCCCTTAGCGACGTTTCCGGATAGCAACTGTAAGTTTTTTTCCCAGGCACTACATGCAACTGGGGAGGCTAAGCGATGTTTCCGGATAGCGACTGTAAATTTTTTTTTCCAGGCACTACATGCAACTGGGGAGGCTAAGAAAGATTCCCTGGAGCATCTTTGGAAACACTGGCCAAAATCCCGTTTAGGCCTGGGAAAGGGAAATGGCTCACATTTTGGAGGCAACTTGGCAATCAAGAACAAGGGTGCTGGTTGCGTTCCTGGTTGCATGCCCAGTCATGCACATGCTCAGGAACACACCTCATTACTGAATGACAATTTGCTGCAAGGGCTACTCTGATTTCTCTTACATAGATGCAAACTGGCAACAGGATTCAGGCAGGGCCCTTCGTAGCCAGCGATGCAGATTTAAGCCGACGGGCAGAATCGAAACGCAGTGCTTACCTTTCTGCCTTTCTCGTTGTCAGGAAGGTAGCAGTGACGGGGGAAGCCTCGCGCAGTAAACTTCTTCCCAGGGTTTGGGTGCTCGGGGCCCTGGTGAAGGAAGAAGGCACAGACAGATGCTTCGTTCACGAATACCACTAGACAAAGCATATATTTCTCTTTGCCACTCGCATGTTACTCAAGTGGGTTCTAATTGACAGCATCCTTGCATCTTGGACTGCAGCAGCAAAGAAGGAATTTTAGCCAGCCTAATTTTTCTGCCACCCTGCAAGGAACGGTAGGAGAAGCAGCGCCAGCCAAAATTCTCCCTGTAAACTCTCACTGTTTCTCAGGTCTCACTAAGGAGCAGGGGTTTCTTGGCAAGCTGCTTTTGCCAACTTTCTGCTTGCTACATTTATTGCTTGTATAAGTAAACTTATATCATTAAAAGCATGATGTTTAAAATCTAAAAACAGTATATTGATCAAATCTAAACAAGAATTCATAACTCTATATTAAATATATACAGTGGTGCCTCGCATAATGAGCGCACCGTTTAACGACGAATCCGCATAGCGATCTATTTTTTTAGATCGCTAATGCGATCACATTGCGATGTTTTAATGGGTAAAACATCGCATTGCGAAGATCAGTAAATGTTTCGCTTACCAATCTTCGCATTGCGATGTTTTTTGAACAGCTAATCGGTGGTTCCAAAATGGCCGCCGAGTGCCCAAAATGGCCACCGCAACCATTTTTGCGCCCTACCCTTGCTTACCGAGGGCGCGAAAATGGCGGCACTATAGAGGAACTTCGCTGAACGGTGAGTTTGGGCCCCATAGGAACGCATTAAACAAAGTTTAATGTGTTCCTATGGCTTTTTCCATTCCGTTTAGCGATGTTTCCTCATAGCGGCGATTAATCCGGAACAGATTAACGTCGCTATGCGGGGCACCACTGTACTTGATAAAAGCATGACTAAAGTCAGATTTAGAGGCAAAAAATTATAAAGCACCCTGTTTATTGTCTCCTAGAAAGTCAGTCTCTAAGGAAAAGCCTGTCTGAAGAGAAAGGTCTGTGCCTGTTTGCAGGTCAGCAAAAAAGGACAGTCTGGCCTCCAGTAGCAGGAAGTTCCAGAGTCTAAAGGAGCAGCCACAGATAAGGCCCCTCTCCTGTCTCCCCACCAAACGCTCCTGTGAGGGTGGTGGGACTGAGAGAAAGGCCTCCCCAGATGATCTTAGTACCCTGGAAAGCTCATAGAGGGAGATGCTGTTTTTGAGACAGTTTGTACCCACTACGGATTCACATTTTTAGAATTTCAGCTGAGGACTCTCCCGTAAAGATGCCAGTCCTCATTCGTCTCATCCTTGTGGCTGGCAATGAGATACCGCAACACCTCTTCCTTTCCCATTCTCATTTGCAAGAAAGTGTTTTGCACAGAACAACCGCACTCATTTTGCTCAGACTGCTCATTTTGCATGAAATGGTACCATCCTCACACCTGAGTTGCCCAAATTGAATTATTTGTCCCCAGCTGGGACGTCTTGTTTAAAACCGCAACTTCCCATCGGGGTTTCCTGCCTCTTGCTTAACCATCAGCTGGTCATTCCGTGCTCGCCCAAAGAGAGGCGAGGCCTTTCATGCAAAATGACAGAGACTCTAGCGCAAACTGGAAAATGGCCGGAGTGGGTAGGCGGAGGCGACAAGGGCCGTGGGAAGGGGGGTGGAGGGGGAGCCTTTCTCTTTTGCCAAATGAAACTTCAAAGGGGAAAAAGTTCAGCATTTCGTTTTGTTTTAGATGAAATCCTAAAAGCCAACAGCTTACAGAGGATTCGTTTTAGCTGTACAGTGGTGCCTCACAAGACGAATGCCTCGCAGGACAAAAAACCGCAAGACAAATGTTTTTTTCCAATCACTATGGTGCCTCTCAAGACAGCTTCTTCTATGGACGTGCTTTGCAAGATGTGATATTTTTTTCCCCAAGACCGATGCCTCGCAAGACGAAAATATTTCATTCGTCTTGCGAGGTTCCCCTAGGAATGCATTGCAATGCATTCCTATGGGAAGCTGCTTTTCACAAGACGATTTTTTCGCAAGACAGCGCTTCTCGCGGAATGAATTACATTCGACTTGTGAGGCACCACTGTATTCTTATCGCAGCACTACAAGTTTCATTGTGCCGTGGTGTTCCGTGGCTCAGTGGTGCCCTGAGCCTGCCCCACACGAGGGCCAGACCCATTCTCTAACCTCCCAGAACCCTGGCGTGACTCTTCCTCTACCTGTCCTCCCTCCTCACTCGCTCCGTCTCTCACCTGGATACCTGCGGGAATATCATACACGATGCGGATGGTTTTGCAGTCCAGGTAGCCCGGGAGGGAGTGAGGGATAATGTGGAATTCCATCTTCCCAGGGGGCTGGGTTCCAGTCTTCTCCCCATAGATGGCTTTGCAAGTGGGGCATTGCAAGCTTCCGTCCTGCTAGGCAAAGTGAAAACAGGGCGGAGCACGGTGGGGGGGGGAGAGGAGAAAGAACATAAAGCATACAAACATGGTCTTGGACACACTTGTCAGCCATGGGCCTCTGTGTGCCTTTGTCAACAAAGAAGCGGCCCACCTCGCAGGGTTGGACCTGCTGCACATCTGGTTGCTAGAAAGAAGGCAGACAAAAGGTGTCCTCTCCATTGTTTCACCGACAGAGCCTGAAGGGGTGGGCAGTTACTGCAGTGCTTCTGCTGAGATACCCCATCCTCCAGCACGAGGACTGTAATGGTAAATTAGGAAGCGCAGCTCCCCATCACAACAGTCTCTATAGACAGCTACCCTGTCATGACAGTCTAAGATGCAGGCAGCTAGATTATTTCAGATCAGTGGATAAGGAGCAGGTCTGAGTCTAAGATGCAGGCATTTCAGATCAGTGGATAAGGAGCAGGTCTTCTGTAAACTGAATGGCTCTTAATTGCCCTTTCAAGACCAAAGAAGACTCAAATATTTTGCATTACATTAGGGGGCCGTTTGCAACAAGATGCTGTTCTTGAGAAATGTCCACTTCGCCTTCGGTTGCCTCAAAAGGAAAAAGGGAGTCTGAGGGAGGTGGCAGGTGCTGTCACAGTCACAGATATTAGAATGGTCCCTGAGCTTGAAGCCGGAAAATCCTGGTTCCACTACATCACCATACTCTGGACAAGAGGCAACTGTTAGAACAGAGTAAGAAGAACAAGAATGGTTTCCCACAGGAAAAGATGGTTATTAGTTACTCCCGTGGCTTTATGTGTTGGTTTTAGTAAACCACTGTATGTTTTTTATCTTTTTATTACTTTATTGTTGTTATGATATTACAGTGGTGCCTTGCTTGATGAGCACACCGTTTAACGACGAATCCGCATAGCGACACATTTTTTGCGATCGCTAATGCGATCGAATTTCGATGTTTAGATAGGCCAAAAATCGCATTGCGATGATTGGTAAGCGTTTCGCTTACCGATCTTCGCATGGCGATGTTCTAAAAATAGCTGATCAGTGGTTCCAAAATGGCTGCCGGAAGAATAAAATGGCCACCCGCTCCATTTTCGCGCCCTGCCCTCGCTTACCGAGGCAGCGAAAATGGCGGCCAGATGGGGAATCTTCGCTTACCGGTGAGTTTTCGCCCCATAGGAATGCATTAAATGGAGTTTAATGCGTTCCTATGGGGTTTTCAGTTCCGTTTAGCGATGTTTCCGGATCGCGACGTTAATCCTGGAACGGATTAGCATCGCTATGCGGGGCACCACTGTATATGAGAAATTGCTCAGGGACCTAGAAAATGAAAAAATGATACAGTAATTTTGTTAAGTAAATAGAATCAAAGAATAAATAAATGAACGAATAAGCTCGGTGGCTTCCCCCATTAGAGCACAAAGGTGTAAATGCAATTATTAGTCCCAGCAAAGAGTAGAGCCATTGAAGGCAGGACTTGTTGAGCAAAACCAACAAATATCCTTTTGGCAAGTCAGAGACTAAGAAGCGTTATTTTGGGAAGCTTTCGTGGGCTTTTGTCCCCTTCTTCAGTTGCAGCTTGATTTGAAGAAGCCCTTAGAATTATGGACGGGAGTTTCAGATTAACCCAAGCTGGCCAAAAACATGAGAGAGACCCTTTCATGTTCAGGGTCTTTCATGGCTTTATAATAGAAAGCATGTGAAATATGAAAAGATTCAGAATTCCAAAACAGAGGTGAGTGAAAACTATGGATCTCGTTCATATTTAGGATTTCAGATTGCCCTGCTTTTTTGGCCTTTTATTTTATTTTTATTTTAAGGGACGTGGTTGGCGCTGCGGGTTAAACCGCAGAAGCCTCTGTGCTGCAAGGTCAGAAGATTTGTAGTCATAAGATCAAATCCATGCGATGGAGAGAGCCCCCTGTCACTTTGTCCCAGCTCCTGCCAACCTAGCGGTTCAAAAGCATGTAAAAATGTGAGTAGATAAATAGGTACCACCATGGTCGGAAGGTCACGGCGTTCCGTGTCTAGTTGCACTGGCCATGTGACCACAGAAGATTGTCTTCAGACAAACGCTAGCTCTATGGGTTGGAAATGGAGATGAGCACTGCCCCCTAGAGTCAGACACAACTGGATAAATTGTCAAGGGGAAACTTTACCTTTTCCTATTTTACAGAGGTTTGGGGGGCTTTCCCCACCCTCACCATTTTCTTTGTTTTATTTAGATTATGATCATCATGATGATTTCTCTTTCTCACCTGCATTGTTTCCTGTTCAATGAACTGATGAGAATGGGGATATGGTGATCAAAGTGAATTTGAAAGTAGCATTAGTGCCTGCATAGATCTTTGGACGATTAGATTCCCCCCCCCATTGTTGTTGCCCTCTTTTGGAGTGGAGGATTGATTGTCTGTTGCCTTGCCTCTGCTTTTATGGACTAGTTTTAAGTGTTCTAGAGGGCCCAATTGAGTCTAGCACCATAAACGAGAAATCCAAAACAAACAAAAAAAACCTGAAAGAACTGGTTCCTTTCAGGTTTACCAAGAGGCCTGCAGACCCCCCCCACACACACACACACACAAACCCCCCACACAAAAGGAGTTCCTAGAAAGACCCCAGAACAAAAGACATTCTAAAGTTTTCCCCCTGCGCTTTCCTAGTTGGAACCATGCTTTGTTGATCTTGCTGGGGCAGCCTCGGGCGGCAGATCCTATTGATGCAGGTTCTGCTGATTCAGTGGGTTGATGCTTATTGGAGCTCACAATTGGCTCTAATCCGCATAAATCTCAGAAACCACAAGGTTAAGATGTGGCAACAATTGGACAGCGATAAGGCCTGTCCCTTCCAGTCTTACCTTGTTGCCATTGTTGTACATTGCAACCAAGCAAAGGAGATGGTACATGTGTCCACATTTGCCCAGCTTCCCCACCACCTCCGGCTTGGCCCCCTTGTGCCTGAGAATGCCCTCGTAGCCTGACAAGGATGCCAGTCTCTCCATGCAGATAGTGCAGTCCTGGAAGAGAAGGGGAATAAAATAAGAGGCATGAGGGGTGAGCGAAAGGATCATTCTGTAGGGTGCCAGCTTGAGGGACCTCACTGCCCATTCAGGTTGTTAGAAACAGTGCAGCTAGCACACCCCTTTCCCTTGGACAAATTACATTTCAGGATGGCAACGACAAGGATGCCAGTCTCTCCATGCAGATGGTGCAGTCCTGGAAGAGCAGGAAAAATAAAATAAGAGGCATGAGGGGTGAACGGAAGGATCATTCTGTTGGGTGCCAGCTTGAGGGACCTCACTGCCCATTCAGGTTGTTAGAAACAGTGCAGCTAGCACACCCCTTTCCCTTGGACAAATTACATTTCAGGATGGCAATTCCCCTAATGATGGGAGTTGTAGTCCAAAGGGGGTAAAACCCCTTTCCAGCAGGCACATGGGAAGAAAGTGGCCAAAGCAGCCGCAGCAAGAGGAAGTGGAACCAGAACCTGGAAAGTAACTAGTTGTAAGCAACTATTCACTAGTTACAGATCATTGTACCTGGAATTAATTTGTTTCTAGCGGTAACAAAGCTATAACTAAAGTTACTTTGTAAAAGTAATTTAATGAGGGATAAAGTGACTCTTTTTGTGGTGTAATAGTAGCTATTTAGTTCCTTTGATTGTCCCGGGAATGTGGCACCATTGAAGAGTGATGAAGAACACCAGACTCTCCCTCTTTTGTGCTTTTATTCCACTGATGTACAACATTCATATAGGTCTCTATTTTGTAACTATCTATTTTTGTGACTTCTTAAAAAATTGTACTTGTAATGGTATCTATGAACAGGGACTCCATAAAATGCTTTTGGGGCTCTTCCGTTTTAATGGTGACTTTTAAACTGTAACCATATAAGAAGTGGACAGAAGGCATGCCACACTCTAGAGGAGCAGAGATTCAGACTTGGGGGCCCTCTCTGCACTCTCCTAGCCAATGCTCTAACCACTACATGACACGGTCCACTGTGGCTCATTGTGGGGGCGAAGGGAGACTCACCTCCTCTGGGGGGTTCTTCACTTTTTGGATATAACGCCGCACCACGTCTTCAGAGTTCTTGCCTGTACAAAGTAGAAGGCGGTCATCATTAGACATGTCTTGTCTTGATGGATTTCCTTGCCTATCTGCTCTAATTAATTACCCAGTAGCGGTTCCATCAGGTTGAGGCACAGGAAGAGACAGGAAAAGGGCCACAACACTGTTGGTGGAGAGACCAAAGATTTGGAACTCTTTCTCCCTCTCCACATATCCCTCTCCCTCTGTATAGGGTGACAGCAGTTTAATCCTGTATCAACTACCAGGGAAACATGGGATTTATACCTAGGTAAAGGTTCCCCTTGACTATTTGTCCAGTCATGTCCAACTCTAGGGGGCGGTGCTCATCTCCGTTTCCAACCCTAGAGTGTCTGACTCTAGGTGGCGGTGCTCATCTCAGTTTCCAACCCACAGAGCTAGCATTTGTCCGCAGACAATCTTCCATGATCACGTGGCCAGCCCACCGTGATGATACCTATTTATCTACTCGCATTTTGCATGCTTTCGAACCGCTAGGTCAGCAGGAGCTGGGACAAGCGACGGGGGCTCCCTCCGTCGTGTGGATTCGATCTTACGACGGCTGGTCTTCTGACCTTGCAGCCCAGAGGCTTCTGAGGTTTAACCCGCAGTGCCGCCACCACGTCCTTTACCTAGAAAACTCTAAAAAGGGTCTCCACAAGTCAGAACTGACTTGACAGCATGTGATTATTATGATAAAACCTTTAGAATTTTCCGGTATTCAGGTCCGGGGCATTCCTCTGAAAGATGATCCTAGCCTCTCTCTGAGGCCACCAGCTTTTGAGTCAGAACTGACTTGACAGCATGTGATCATTATGATAAAACCCTTAGAATTTTCCGGTATTCATCTCCAGGGCATTCCCCCGAAAGATGACCCTAGCCTCTCTCTGAGGCCACCAGCTTTTCACACCACCCCTCAATTTAGACACCATAAGTCTCAAACAGCTACAGGCGAGGAAGTCTCTGAGAGTGTGCTTTAGAAATAAAGGGCACCTTTAAAGCACCCAAAGGTTCTTCATGCGAGAGCAGTCACCGAGCATCATCCACCACCTCTCAGGCCTTGGAGCACCATGTTCAGCCCCCACAATATACAGCATGTGGTTGCTGGGGCTACATCAGAGGGACATAGGGCACAGAAATGGCAATCGACTGATTCACCCTGATGGCCGTAAATTCTGCAGAGTGGCTAGCAGAAATGGTCCAGGGACAAGTAACTTAGAAGAAGCAACTCCTAATAAATACAGATCTGCTGAGCCAGATGCGCAGATACACCCAAGACGGCAACCTTGTGTGCCACCCAGAACCATAATCCATGCTCCTCTAGAAAGGAAGCTGTTAATCGACCACTCTGGAACCCACTGCCTACAATGGAAAGCATCCCTTACTTTTTTTCAAATGTTTCTTCTTAGTCTTCCGGCAAATTCCGGTGATGCCAGGCACCGGCTTCATGTCACTCTTGTTGACCGGCGGCGGGTGCAAGATGGGCTTCGGGGCTCGAGTGAGACAGACGGGCAGGCCGGCAGCACACATCAAAATGCCTGTCATCCCTGGAGCAGAGACACACAGAGAGAAAGATGTTGGAGCAATGCCGAAACAGAGTTTGATCATCGAAGTGAGGGCTTCGTCAGACAGACATTTGTCCCAATGTTGAGTCCATCGTGCAGACAAGTTGGTTTGCTCTTTTTTCCAGCGATGATGGATTTGCCGGAACAAACCAAGCCATACCCAGAGCAATCCTACTCACATTGTTTTAAGCCCTTGTCACAGGCTTCCACTTTTTTGTGGGTAGGGTGGTTCTGTTTTGGTTTGTTTCCGGCATGTTTTATCACTGGGAACAAACCAAAAGTGAACTTTCCCAGTTGTCAAGGCTCCTTCAATTGGAATTTCCGATATAATGTAGTGGCCTAATAAGCAAGCCCCTTCAGGATATCGGCAAATTGAACACTTTTTCGGCTCCTTGGTAGAGGGAACGAGAAAACTGATTTTATTTTTTTAAAGATTCTGGTAGACTATCACTGAGGCACCGCATCAATTTTAAAAAAAAGAAAAAAGAAAATTTTGTTTTGTCTGAAAGAGGGAATTCATGGATTGGCTGCGGGTAGTGACTCAACTGGTTCTTCAGACAAAGGAAGTGTTTAATTTTCCAGTATTCTGAAGTGGCTGACTTATTATGCCACATCAGAAGGATACAGACTTCGTCTGATCCCAGGTGACACTATTCAGTCAACACCAGCAGTTTAGATTACAGTTACTGCTGTCTCAGCTGCCCATGTAAACTCATGTGTTGTGTTTCTAGTAATACCTTGTGTTGGCATTTCCAGTAGGTGGGAAAATATAGGAAATACTCTCTGTTTCCCTGATATTGCCAGTAACTGACTGATACTGTGCCATGGAAATATTTATGAATGTGCAAAATCCAAAATCAAAGCATACTGGGTTTGCCAGACAAGAATTGATAAAATAATGACATAAAATTAAAAAATATCTCCATTAAAATGCCTTAAAACGTTTAAAGCATCAAGGGCATCTTAAGCCATTTATTTACAAAAGTACAGTAATAAGTTGTAATTCTTTTGAATAATGAGGTATTGTTTGTCATACCTAAGTAACTTAGATGTTACTTATTACACATAACATACAAATTTGTAACCACTAGTTCTATTTTTCTGTACTAATTACAGACAATTATATTACTTGTAACTAGTTACTTCCAAGCTATGCTAAGTCCAGTGGGTAGTATCAGCTATAGTAAACCCACTGAATCAATGGGACTTGCACACCTTTGGGATTCAGTGGGTCTGCTCTAGTCGGGACTACCAGCTGGATCTCGCTTGTTAGTAAACTCCCCACTGCTGTGCAACCAGAGACAGGAAATGCTCCTTTATTTTAGAAATGTGGCTCTCACTTTTTGTGGCCCTACAACTGCCCAAAGACATTACAGTGGTGCCCCGCATAGCGATGATTATCCATTCCGGAAAAAATCGTCGCTATACGGATTCGTCGCTATGTGGAACAAAAAAGCCCATAGGAATGCATTAAAACACGTTTAATGCGTTCCTATGGGCAAAAAACTCACCGTTCTGAGAAAATCCTCCATACGGCCGCCACTTTCGCTGCCCGGTAAGGAAGGAATGGGCGCGAAAACACTGCGGACGGCCATTTTTTTAACCCGGCAGCCATTTTGGAATCGCTGATCAGCTGTTAGGAAAACATCGCTATGCGAAAATCGGTAAGCGAAACAGCTTACCGATCATCGCAAAGCGATGTTTTACCATTTAAACATCGCAATGCGATCGCAAAAACGATTGCAAAAAACACATCGCTATGCAGATTCGTCGTTAAACGGGAAGCCCATTATGCAGGGCACCACTGTATTTTTCTCCATCAGGTGAAGAAAACTCCCATCCTCTGTGTGTAAGTTGGATGGATGGGTTGTCGAAGCAACAGGTTCATAAGACTGGTCACATGCCAAGGTCTGGCCTTCACCAGCAGGAAACAGCCACAGAGGCTGTGAAGGATTGCTGCCATTACCTTACCCCAGAATCTGCCACTGAAAGCACTTAAGACTTCTTCTTTCTTGACTGGGCAAGGACTGAGCGTTTCCCCAACTCCAGACATAAGGGTGGGGACAGTCCAAGCAGGAAGGGGGTTTCCCCCTCACTCCATAATTTCAGGCAAAGACCCTTCTGCACATGGAATATCCTCTCTCCCATGCCTAAGAACTTGATTGTTAGATCACCCGTGTCATCCTTACCTGCCAGGGCCGGGTGGACTGGGCCAGTTCCATTCAGGTTCTTAACTGGGAGGGCGGGAACCCTGGAAGAGAAAGACAGCCAGCATGGAGTCAGGCAGGATAAGCGGGTCTCTACATCCACCATCAAGAATCAAACAACCATCTCCTTATCCACACATTCGCTGTATAGTTCTCAGAGCTGACATTGCTTAAAAAAAATCCTTGTTGATGAAATGGATGTGCTGTAGTCAATTAATCAAGTATTAATTAAGATAAATATGTTTACAAATGAGAGAACAACAATACTGCTGCAGAGGGACAAGAAGCATACTTGGCTTGTTTTTAGATCCGGAGTGGGTACAAAGCTCAGAAGCAAATAGTTACTGTATTTTTCCATGTATAAGACACCCTCCACTTTTCTAATCCAAAATTAAGAAATCCAAGTGGGGTTCAGCAAGGGTGGGGGGAAAGGGATCAAAGCACTGCAGGATCGCTTTGATCCCTGCTTTCTCCTCCACTTATTTTTGTTCTCTCCTCAGCTTACTTCTGTGTATAAGACAACCCTCAATTTTAGTCTAAAGATTTTAGACAAAAGTATAGTCTTATACACTGAAAAATACGGTACATCGACTATCAATCATGTGCTGTCTTGTCAATTCTGACTTATGGTGACCCTTTCCAGGATTTTCCAGACAGAGAATATTTGGAAGTAGTCTCCCCTTCCCTTCTTCCAGGGGGCATCCCTGGGACTGTCCAGCTTGCCCAAGGCCACCCAGGCTGGCTCCACTCTCTGGAGGCATAAGTGGGGAATCGAACTCCAATCTAATAAATAAATAAATATACGTAAACCACTGAACTATCTAGCTAAATAGTTATTATAACTATTAAGTAGCCATAAATAGTTATAATTACTTAACAAATAATAGTGTGTCATCAAGTCAATTCTGACTTACGGCAATCTTTCCCAGGGTTTTCTAGATGCAAAGTACTTAGAAGTGGCTTACCATTTGATTCTTTGGGGGGCCATTCTTCATCCCAATAATACACAAACTGGCTTCCCCCCCATGTGGGGAACTGAACTCCCAACTTCTGGCTCTACACCCTGATATTCAGGCCACTGAGCTATCCGGCTAGTGAACAGTGGTTTTTTCCCCAATACTGAATCATAACTACCTTGAATCACAACCTGATACTGTATTCAGACCACTGAGCTATCCGGCTAGCGAACAGTGTTTTTTTCCCAATACTGAATCATAACTACCTTGAATCACAATTTTCATGCCATACAGCCATCGCTTTTTCGCTTTTTCTACAGTTTTGGGGCCACAGCAAAGACGGACAGTAAACATTGTATGGTTCAAGAGCTTGTATGGACTGTGTTTTGGGCTGTTGGTTATGGCTGAGAGACAAGACCACATCTTTTGCCATATAGCCATCACTTTTTCGCTTTTTCTACAGTTCTGGGGCCACAGCAAAGACGGACAGCAAACATTGTATGGTTCAAGTGCTTGTATGGACTGTGTTTTGGGCTGTTGGATGAAAACCTTTCAGAGATTTTCTAAAAATGTGTGTGCATACGTGAGCCGTCAAGTCTGTTTAGTATGGTTTACTTTTCCCTTTCTCTGAGCATGCCCTGGGACTGTGCTGATTTCCCCAAGCCAAACAGGCTGGTTCAAGAAGTGCAGTGCAGATTCAAACTCCCAACCTCTGGCTCCAGATTTTTGATTATTAATAAAAGAAAAATTACAAATAAAATTTTTTTTTAAAACTGGAATACAAACTCAATAGTGACTATGCACAATACACATTGAACCTTCACTCTTGGGAGCAGGTGACCAGTAATATCCGTTTACACCCCCTTTCATCCCATACCTCTCCAAAATACATTGATTCTTTCGCTGGTGTATAGCCTTTCCCCTTAGAAAAGACATATTCCAAGTATAAATTCCATATATCTTTGAAATCATTAAACATTAGCATTCCTCTCCTTATTTTCATTTCACAGGTTAGGTTATCATTAATCAATATGCTCCACGTTTCTTTATACCAATCATCAAGATTAATTTGTTTGTCGCTTTTCCAGTTCTGTGCAAATATTAATCTTGCTACCGTAACCATTGTAACAACTAATTCCTTCTGAATTTTTTTTCAAATGATCATTCTTAGTGATGTTCAGGAGGGCAATAATTGGTGATATTTGAATATCACATCCAATAATTGTTCTAATTTCCTTAAAAACCAGTGACCATTCTTTCTCTTATTTCACACGTCCACCACATATGCATATAGGTCCCTTTTTCCTTTTCGCATCTCCAGCATTGATATGGTGTATTTTTATTCATTATATTCACTCTTACTGGAATTAAATACTATCCCCATGCTACCTTAGAACAATTTTTTTTACCCTAATAGACATATTCTTTATTATTCTTTGTGACCCTATCTTGTTCCAATCCTTTCCTTTAATCTCTTCCTCAAAGTCCACCTGCTACTGATTTTTCATTGTCGCTTGTTCAAATCCTGAATTTATGGCTCCAGATACCTAAACCACTGAACTATCCTGCCAGCTTAAAAATATAGCTAGAAGTAACTACAGTGGTGCCCCGCAAGACAATGTTAATTTGTTCCATTGAAATCGCTGTCTTGTGCAAACATCGACTTGCAAAAAGTGTTTTCCCATTGGAATGCACTGAAATCCGTTTAATGCGTTCCAATGGGGAAAAATCGTCGTCGTTCCCATAGGGAAGCCATTTTGCGAAGTGCCGATCAGCTGTTAAAATCGTTGTCTTGCGAAAAACGGTCTGCGAAGCACGGACCCAAACATCGTCCAGCGAAAATCGCCCATAGGAAACACTGTTTTGCGAAGCACTATAGCGATCACATAAAGTCATCGTCATGCGGATTCGTCGTTTTGTGAGGTCATAGTCTAGCGGGGCACCACTGTATCTTAACCACTTAAGAAGAGGGGACAGGTTGTACATTAGTATGTGTCATATCTCTGACTCATAAATCCCTCTTGCCTTACTGGCAGTCTGTTTTTAGAAGCCTCTAGCCCAGTTAACCCCAGTTTATGTACCATCCTTTTTTGAAGATGGGTGCTGGCAAACTCAAAAGCTCACTTTATTGATTTATTTATTTTTGGCCAGTGTGGTGTGATGGATAGGGTGACATACCTGTACTCAGGAAAACCTGAGTTCAAATCCTCACTTGGCCATGGAAATTCATGGGGAGCGAGTGGAACTTGTAAAAAATACTCCTCAATAAAATGTGTAATTGAGATAAACCAATGGTCAATAAGAAGAGAGGTATAAATCTCAAAAAAAGTGGAACATTTAGGTTTGTCTTCATCGCCAATCAGTTCAGATATATGGTTGTTGTGGGTTTTCAGATATATTTCAGATACTTTATCTCAACCCAATAAATTAATGTGGTTTGAATATGGAAGGGCAAAAACTACAAATGAATTTGGTAAACATCTTACAATTTAATAGACATAGAGTTGAAAAAATATAAAATCCTTTTTTTAGTGATATGTTATTAATAAGGAATAAATATAGAAAATTGTTTATCCCACCAGTATCCCCATTGTGTCTGGTGACAGTCAGCTGGAAAGAATTCCCAGAGAACTTTAAAAGATCAGTTGAAGACCTTTTGATAAAAATACCTGCTTCGAGATTAAAGGATTGCCTAGGAAATAAATAGGAAATAAAGAACAAATAAAAGTGTTTGGTGAAGATGAAATATCTTGGTATAATGTTATTCAGTTAGAACACTGGACAAAGAAGTGGATGAAAAGAAAGGTATGGAGGCTATGAAATATGAAGCAATTATTTTACAGAAGGAAATCATGGGCGAGGAGAACGTAGAGAAGGAAATAAGAAGGAAAAGCTATAATTCATTACTGGAAGCAGAAGATTAGGAGGATTCACTTAAAACGTTATGGGAAGGAGATTAAGGAGATGAAATAAGCTGGGAAAATATGTAGAATGTTCAAATACGGAGGTCTTCGTCTATAAGAATAAAAGAGAACTTTTATAAATTAATACGGAGATGGTGACCGACTGCAGTGAAACTTAATCAAATGGATGATGATTGTTCCAGGATGTGTCAGAGAAGGTGCCTGAAAACAGGCACTTATTTTTCATATGTTGGTAGAACTGGGGACTTATATATACATTTTGGCAATTGGTTTTTAAAGAAATGTATTTAAAAAGCAACTTAAATTTAGCTGTACGTCTTAAAATAGTGCTTTTATCAATATTTGGAAGGGAGATAGATAAGTGGATGAAGAGAGAATTAGTTTCTAATCTGTTGACAGCGGCAAAGCTGATTCTTGCTAGGAATTGAAAATCAGCTCATAATATATAATTAATTGCTATATTAAGTGATGGTACAGAGAGGTTTGGGATATAGCAATTAATTCAGTTCTTCACAAAAAAAACCACTCCAGTTTATAAATGTGGGGTATATTGTGCTACTGTATCCACAATTCGAAAATCTGGGAAACAGCCCAATATTGCTGCACAATATCGTCCCAAAGTTGCCAGCAGGAAAAAGTATGCCAAGCTTTACATAGCAAAGGGCAGTCTGAATGTTGATGACACCAATGGCAGCAGCCACAATGGTCTACAGCAGGGATTTCCAACCTTTTTCACCCCATGGACCAGCTGGGGAAGGCAGGGCACCCCCCACGCTCGAATGCATGCACAAACATGCATGCGCTCTCGCGTGAATGTGCACATGCGCAAATGGTGATGCGGCGCTTGTGCAGTTGCAGGTGCGCTCGTGCGCATGTGCAAGCAGTGGCACAGCACTTGCACGGGGGGCACTGGAGCGCACACACATGTGCAAATCAGCTGTGCTTGGGTTACTGCATGTGGGTGGGTGGGAGTTCTGTCTCCACAGCCCAGTCCGGGTCAGGCCATGGACCGGCATGGGGCCATGCACCAGGGATTGGGGGCCTCTGTTCTACAGGATACCGTCTTCTGCTCAATACCATTCACAAAACAACACCACGCAGGGGGAAATGTCAGAAGCTGACTCTTTTTTCCCCCATCCGTTTGTCACTTCTCACGCAAACACA